AGAAGAAAAATTCCTAAACACTCTATTCAAATTGGTTTGGTTTTGATTATCAACTAAGAAACTGAGCTAATGAAAAGCAATTAAAATAGCAGAGATATTCACGCAATGATTCAAGAGCTAGGGAATCGGGGATAATTGCTTCGGTTCTACCACAGCTACCGGCAATCAACTGCTCGGTTTAAGGACCTGAATTGCTTTTCGTTCAGAGGTTCACTCTCAATACAGTTACGAACAAGAGAGTGGATGTAAACGATTAACTATCAGTTCCCGCAACGCATAGACAATACAGTTACGAACTAGTCTACTCTAAACAAGCCTATATCGACCAACGTCTCCCCTCTCGGTTCCACACGTTGATTAGTTAGGTTAAACAGGCGATCAATCTATTAACCCTAGAATAAGCCTAACTTGAATAGATATGAACAATCAAGAACTATTAATTATTATCGAACCTAATCAATCATCCCCTATCCCTAGCGTAAGGATTTAGCTACTCATGTAGAATTGAACAAGAACAATCAAATTAACCCAAGCCATCATCATCGACTCAACAATTGAAGAAAATAAGAACTTACGATTAAAATAGAGAATCCCAATGTTAAAATCCACAAGCATCCAAATCCAAAGCGGTAAATAGGAGTTTTCCAATCTCCAATACGAATCAAAAGCGTAAAAGTAATGAACAGAGTGAGTTTTCTAGAGAGAATAATGTAAAAAACAAGGTCTGGAAGGTGAATAATCAAGTCTAGGTCGAAAATCTGATGTTAAAATCCCGACCTCGAAATTCGCACCGAGCAAGTCGCGAGTCGCGACCTAAGTCGCGACTTACCAAAAATCCATCTCGCAAGTCGCGAAATATCGCGAGTCGCGCGTCGGCAAAAATATGTAAAATCTGGGGAAAATCGCGAGATAGCTCGCGAGTCGCGACTTCATCTCGCGAGTCGCGAATTTGACTCGCGAGTCGCGACTTGTCTCGCGGAAGTCTTCTTTTCGGCTCTGTTGGACTCGCGAGTCGTGACCATCTCGCGAGTCGCGACTATCTCGCGAGTCGCGACTCCGACTCGCGAGTCGCGAGAAGCTCTGGAAGCTATTCGGTCTGTTTTTTCGGTCCTTCCTTCGGTATTCTGAGCACATCAACGGGTATTCATGATATCTCGGTCTCAGCTCTAGCAGTCCCGTCCTCAATTGACACAACCTACCTTCTGAAAACACAAACACGAAGAAAACACGAAGCAAAACACAGCAAAAAGACACACAAAACGAACTAAAGAGAGAAACGGAAAAATCACAGAATTGGACCAAATAAACTACGGAAATCCTATAAGTGGGGAAAAATAAAGAGAAAATAAAGCGAAAATAAAGACACAAAAATGAGACAAACACTTATATTTTTTGGAGTTGTTACCTTTTGTGAAATAAATATTGTATTTATTCATAGGGACAAATAGGTTATGAATATCATTGTATAAAATAAGTTTCGCTAATAATATTTCGTCACAGGTACAATTATGGTTATAATTGTGTATAACGAACTAAGTTTCGTTATTTTAGAAATAAGTCTCGTTATAGAAAAAAATACAAATATATAGTATCAAAATATTTATAACAGAATTTATTTATACAATAACGATACTTCGTTTTAGATATAGACATACTGGAGAAATTGGTCGACCGAGATTAGTATCGTTCTAATGTACTATATAACGAATGTATAATCATTATAGTAGTATTTCATCAACGTGGCTGAAAGTACAAGTATAATGTAATGGATTATATAATGGAGGTAGAATCGTTATATTAGTATTTCATTTGAAGGGCTGGAAATATAACTATAACGAGTACAACGAAGGCATGTATTATATAACGAAGGTAGTATCGTTATATTAGCATTTCATGTAAAAGGGTTGAAAATATAACTATAACGAGTGAACTATCATTCTATTGTATTACATAACGAATGTGAAATCGTTCTAACTGTTGTGCGTGGCTCGCGCCCGCGAGGGTCCCCCACGAGCTACTGCGTATGGAGGTCCTAAAGCAGTCGCGCCCGCTATTGGTAGAACAATAGACTACCTTCGTTGTATATTACATTAGAACAAATGTACTCTTTCTATTGATATATTTGCCGCCATGTCGATGAAATACTATAACAATTATACCTTCGTTATATATTACATTATGATGAAGGTACTCTCGTTATAGTTATATTTTCAACCTTGAAATATTACTATAACGATTCTGCATTCATTGTATTAAAAAATATAGTAAAAATAATACTATTCTCGTTATAGTTAATTTTCAACCATGTAGATGAAATACTATCATAACGACCCTAAATTTGTTATGTACTACATTAGAATGATTGTACACTCGCTTTATCGACTTACTCTATCGACTTACTCATTTTATCTATTTATAAAACGACAAAAGTATCGTTATCGTATATATAAAACAAGTTCCGTTATAAGTATTTCGATACTATGATATTTAGATGTATGTATAATTATGATCATAAGATCATTGACATCTATCTACCGCACAAAAACAATTTGTAAAATATAGTTGTTTTTATACTTCGATGCGGTCAATTGGCGATATATTCTGGCCACATTTTATAAACTTTGGTTCGCAAGTTTGTTGGTCGCTGGAAATATTGCAGAACGTTTGATAAGGAAATGGGGACTTTTCTACATAGTTAGAATTCATTGTGACTAAAGTTGTTAAACAAAATGGGCTGCTCGTGAGATTGGCTTCACTTGGCTTCGTCGATCGATCGTGTAATTGGCACCATTCACGCGACCTCCGGGCTCCGTCGATCGATCGCTGCACAGTTTTTCACGATCTCCTTCACGCGACCTCCGTTGGTCGATCGATATATCGGCAGACTTTCTTCACTCCACACGAGCGCACGCCAGTGAATGTCCACTTGATCAGAGAAGGTGATACTACCATAAGTTATTTTTTCTTGTATTCACCTTTTCTCAAGATTTCCTGTTTCCCATAAGAAGTTATCAAGAATATCATCGCCCTTACCTTATTTAACTCAAATTATCTCCTTCAGACCATAATCTTGCTGACAAAAAGTTTGGTTTTCATAGAATGCGACATAGTTCTTGTTTGGCTATCGAAGATCGAAACTGAACTACTTTTTTTAGCAGTGGTTTGGGAAAAACCGGTTTGATTGTTTTCCCTCTTCTTCTTCTTCTTCTTCTTCTTCTTCTTCTTCTTCTTTTTTTTTTTTTTTTTTTTTTTTTTT